AACTTTTTACTGCTTTGAAAGTAATGCAGTTCTTTTTCTTGATGTTTTATTTTATTCTTTTTATTTTTTTGGTCTTCTTCTTGAGACAGGGTCTCCCTGTAGCCCAGTTGTCCTGGAACTCACTATGTAGACCAGGCTTTCCTTGAACTTACAGAGATCCACTTGCCTCTGTCTCCCGAGTGCTGGATCTAAAACTATGTGCCACCAGGCCTGGCTGATATTTTATTTTTTTAATGTATGGGTGTATGCATATGTGTAAGTGCACCCATGTTGTGCCCATGGAGGTCAGAAGAGGGCATCAGATACCCTAGAACTAGAATTACCTACAGTTGTTAGCCACCAGGTGGGTGCTGGGAATTGAACCTGGGTCCTCTGCAAGAGCAGTCAGTACTTTTAACTGCTGATCCATCTCTTCTGCAACAAATCATCCATGAACTCCTGGGAGGCCAAGCTGACCCTTTAAGGAAAGCGGGCTTTCCCAGATAAAGGCAGCAGAAGCAATGTTTACTAAGATTCCTCTGCATAATATACTGCCTTTTCTTCAAGAACTTGCCAAGAGCAACAGCACACTTGCCCCTCTAAGTATTTCACCACCTATGAGCAGGTCTCAGAAGCTTTAAGAAATTTGTTGATGAGAAGAGGTGGTGGTGCACAGAGTAAATGACAGATTTGGTGACAATATTTTTGAGCAGGGATAGTGTTTAAATCAAATTATAAATAGGGAAATCTTAGGGTCAATCGACTCTACCTTTTCAGTCAGCTCTAGTAGAGTTTACAAAGTCATTCTAGGACAGATGCATAATACAAGCCTCTATACAACCAAGGTCAAAACTTGGACACCCTAACATCCTTCCCCATTTAACCAAAGGGTCAGTCAGTTTTACTTGGGGATTGTTGGGAAAGGGTAAAGAAAGAATGCTTACTTCACTCGTTTGAAGGGTAAATAATTCACAAATGGGGGAAGAAATTGTAGATGAGAAAAGGATGGAGCTGTGGAATGGCTGGAATTGTGGGAGTGAGGGTCTAGAAGCTGAATGAGAAGGCTAGATCACCTGGTTGCAAACCCACAATCTCCATGTTAAGGAACAGTAGGCTACTAGGGGTAGCCTGGGAGGAAGGAAGCTAAGGAAAAGTCACAGAAGCTACAGTGGTCAGAAGGAGTCTCTAAGAGTCTCTACTGTTTCCTCCACCCACTAAGGGGACTGTTTCTGGGATAGGGACCCCCACAGGGAGGGAGATCATAGGAGATTTGCAAATGGAAGCTTGGCTGAAGCCTCCATTGGCAGAAAATGTGCTTGGAACTCTGAGAACCGAACAGCAATTCTTTAGCTTCTATATTTTACCTTCTTAGGGTGGCATGGCCTTCCCTGGACTCCACCTCCCCAATTTTAGAACAGATTTGTTCTGAGACTCATTTCTCTTTTATTAAATTACCACTTAGGCAACATACAAACAGTACACACAGAGAGTACAAAATTACAAACCCACACGTGGAATAAATTAAGAACTTTGTATTGAAAAGTAGATGGCAGAAGATGCTGTTCACTAGTGGGGCCTTCAGTTCTACCACCTGGAGGGTCATGAGGTATCAATAGACCCTGAAAGTCTGTCGTAAGTCTGAGAGATCTTTAGTGAAGGCTTCTGAAGCCCAAACTCTTTCACTAAACCAGGCATAACACACAGTGGGGGCAGATGACCAACTAAGCAACAAGTGAAGTGGACCAGCTATGCCTTCCCTGCTGCTTTAGCATCAGATGAGTTCCTGGAACTCATCCTTTACCAGCTCCCTGGGTCCTTTGGAGCTGCAAGTTCTCCCCAGCAGTAGGAAGCCAAGGCCTGCCTGCTTCAGGAGGTGCAGAACCAAGTGTCTCCCACCAGGACTGAGTCAAGCACATCTTAGCAACTTACACTGCCCTTGCTTTGTTGTCTCCTGAGCCTTGTCTGCCACTTCTTGAAGAATGAGTGGAGAAATGCATCCCTGGGGGAAACCCACCAATCTCCAGTCCCAGTAGCTATGTGCAAATTCTCCATCAATCACTGTCCGGGAGTGTGAGACTGAGGAAGTCATCTCATTTCTCTAAGCCTCACAGTACCCATCTGTAGAAACTGGGGTGTCTATTTTATAGTCACCATGAAGAATTACTGAAATTTGGTATTATTAAATCCCAAGCCAGACTCAGGTGAAATGCTCAGAACCTGTTTTCTTTCTTGCCTTCTAATCACCTATTTTTCCCCTCTATTCCTCCATTTTCTAGGTTTATGTGTCTTTGGTGGTTATGCAACTCCAATGGCACCCAAAACTGGAATTGACTTCCCTAGTCTCCCAACAAAGACTGCTGGTATGTGCTCCTTACTAAAAGAACGCTGTACCACTGGGAGGGGGTGGGCCTTGGGTACAGTTGAGCCCAGGAAAGCAATCTGAGTATCCTGAGGGCTCATGGAGACCCAATTGTGTTGGGTATCATTGTAAGATGCCACAGTGGTAGATAGATAAGAAGTGAGGCAAGGAGTGTAGAGATGACTTGAGCCAGAAGTTAGAACCCAGAAGTGGTGTTGTTTATAGCCTTCACCTGAAAGAAAGTCCCCCTTCCCAAGAGTCAGAGGATCAAGGGTGTAGATTTATCTGCCTGGCAGGTCTATCCCTGGAAAAGCTAGTCTGATGGGTCACCATGTATCACTTAGGCTCTGCAGAACTCTCCCACCCATGTCTCCATCTTTCTGTCCGTCCGTCCAACCATCCATCCATCCATCCAGTCACCTGGTATACATTCAGAGTTTGTAGATTGCAGGCTAAGCTGAATGGACAACTCTATCTTCTCATTTAGCACCTTTGGTTCAAGGAGTATCTTCTATAGTCCCTCAACTAGAGTCCTAGTAATGCCATGAGGTAGTAACAATACCCTTCTTTGTACAGATCAAGAAGTATTCAAGCTGGGCATGGTGGTGGTACAAACCTTTAATCCCAGCACTAGGGAGGCAGAGGCAGGTGGATCTCTGTGAGATTGAGGCCAGCCTGTCTAGACAGTGAGTTCCAAGTCAGCTGAGGCTGTAGGGACACCCTACCTCAAAAAACAAAACAAAACAAAACAAAAAACAAACAAAAGTATTCAAAGTAACAGTGCACAGCTGAAACATCGTCAAGACAGGTCAAGTCAGGTGTGCTGCTCTGTCTCCAAAGGCTGGAATCTGGTTCTCATCTTAGGAGTCTTGGTTCTGATGGACTAGGACTGACCTCAGTGGCAATCCCTGTCCTGCTGCTTTTCACACCAGTGTGGGTTTCAAGTCATCTTTGAAGTTTACAACGGGCTTGGAGCAGGCCCACAGCTTTTCCCGGGAGGCCAGCCCCCCAGCAGGCTCAGGGCCACTGTCTGATGTGTCACTGTCACTGGAGTCCAAAGAGCTCTGGAAGCAGATTTCACAATATGGCCGGTGACAGCGGCAGAAGAACTCATCTGAGCTGCTTGACTCAGTGTCCAGGAAGTTACACTGAGAGGACAAGGAAGGGCGGCCAGGATACACTGGGGGCCGGGGCTGCAACTGACCAGGCAGGCCTGGTGAAGGAGGTAGGCATGGAACAATGGGACTTTGTGCCTTGCTAGAAGCAGAAGGTTGACAAGGAAAGGTTGCATCACAGCCTGCAGCCCCCTGGAGCTTAGTCTGGCATTGTTTACTGCCATCCAGGGCACCCAGTCTTGAGTGAGGATCTGAAAGTGGTAAAGGCTTTATGGAAAAGGATCGTGGTAGTTTGGAAGCTGTGCTTTGGAGGTCCAGGCTGGGGTTGTCCCCAGTCTGTACATTCAGTCCACTATGTGCACCAGAAATAGTTCTGTTTGTTTGATGCCCCCCATTGGGGGCTACTGAGCCAGGGAAGTGGGAGCGAGCCCGCTGGGCTGTCCGCCTCCTCCTCGCTACATATGGGCTGAAGCCCAGTCCCCTAAACAGAGGCAGTTTCTGGGGGCTGCAGGAAGTGCTGTTCTTCCAAAGCTGCTGGGGACAAGGTGGGGAGGAGAGGGGAGTCTCGGGGTCCAGCTCCAGCTCTTGTAAGACTTCCTGAAGCTTTTCTTTGACCACTGAATTGACTCTAGGTAGTCTGTCTGGGAATTCTTCTGAGCTCTGCCTGGGCCTCTGGGGTTCACAAGCTCCTCCATCTAGCATGGGGGCCATCAGTCCCTGGTCTCCTCTTTCTGGACTCTCCCTTTTCTCAGCCTGTGGCTTCTGGCCACAACCCAAGTCCAAAGGATCACAAAAGTGTTTCAAAAGCATCTTCTTCTTCTGGCCTGGGGAGGGACTAGTGTCCCTCTGAGATGCCTCAGGGCTTTGCACATGGTTGGAGGCTCCTGGGGTGTACAGGGAGTCCTTAGCAGCTGCACTGGTATCATCCTCAGGGGCAGAAGGGCATTCTGAAGGTTCTTGGGCTGCCAGCCCATGGGCAGAGGCTTCGGCTGGGGCAACCCAGTCTGGGGAGTCAGAGGTGCACTCTTCAGACATCAGCTTCACTAATTTCTGCTTAGCGTTGTTGACTTGTTCCTGCAGGCTTTCAATTACTGCATTTTTCTGCAGAAATACAAGCACGATCATTAACAAAAGATGCTACTAAGGGTTCCAAGGTGCTTCCTATGGTGGAGAAGGAAACCATGGCTTAAATCCCAGTTCTTCTAAAGTACTGGAAGGTGGCCTCAGATTTGGTGGCAGGACTTCCACCCGGTGGAATGACACATGGCAAATGTTCAGCACAGTATCTGATATATGGTGCCCAGGAAAGGCTACATGCTGCATGGTCACTATGAGTTCCCTCTCCCCTTCCTAGCCCTAGTGCTATCTGTGAGGAGGCCCAGTCTCATAGCTTCCTGGTAGCTGTATCATCCTCTTACCTTCCCCAGCCCTAGAGGGTCAGGTCACTCTAGCACACCAGCCTGAGGAGTGTCTGGGATGTTCTAACTCTGGGTTTCTCAAACTTGTGCAAAGTATACATGAATCTGAAGCACATCTCCAGGGTTGAATAAATGAGGAAACCAGTATTCTGCCTCTTGTTAAACAGCCTGGAAAATGGGAAGAATAGGGAGAAAGGTGGAGCTTTCTGGGCCAAGTCAATCAAACTGGAGCTGGGAAGAGTCAATGAAAGAATCTCAGGTTGGTGTCATCACTTCCCTAGGCAGGTCTTTTGGATGAGAGGCCAAAGTGTCAGTAGCTCTAAAAGAAGGATGTATATCAGAATTATTGTAGCTTAACAGGAAAAAAAGCAAGAATGACAAGTGGGATTATAGCCAAGTGAAAGGCTTCCAAATAACACAAGAAACAATCAATACAGTAAAGAGACAACCAATAGAATCAGAGAAAATATTTGCCACCTATAAGGGTTAATATGCAGAATATATAAAGGACTAAAAAACTCAACAACAAGCATACAAAGAATCCAATTTAAAAAAAAATAAGTGAATGAGCTGGGTGTGGTGGTGCATGCCTTTAATCTCAGTACTCCAGAGACAGAGGCAGGCAGATTTCTGTGAGTTTCAGGCCAGCCAGGACTACAGTGAGACCCTAGCTAAAAAAATCAAAACCAACCAACCAGTCAAACAAACAAAACCAACAAAAGGTAAATGATTTAAATAGATACTTTTCAAAATAAGAAATAAAAATGGCCAATTAATATTTTATAAGATGCTCAGCATCTTTAGTCATAAGGGAAATGCAGATCAAAATTATGTGAGAATTGCCCTTACCCCAGTTAAGGTATCTATTAAAAAAAAATTGCTGGTGAGGATGTGGAGAAAAAGGAACCCTATACACTGTTGGTGGAAATAGAAATTAGTGCAGCCATTGTGGAATTAGCTTAGAGATCTCTCAAAAGACTAAAAACGGGCTGGAGAGAGGGCTCAGCAGTTAAGAGCACTCGTTGCTTTTGCAGAAGATCTGGGTTCCCAGCACTCATATGGTGGCTAACAACTGTCCATAACTCCAGTTCCAGGGAATCTGGTGTCCTCTTTTGTCCTCCACGGGCACTGCATGACATGGTGCACTTACATACACATAAAATAAAAGTAAATTTTAAAAAATGTTTTAAAAGAAATTTTAAAAAGTACTAAAAACAGAACTACTATATGATCCAGCTGTCTCATCCTGAGACGAAAGAAATGAAGTCAGTGTGAAAAGCCACCTTCTTACCCATGTTTATTACAGCACTATCTATAAAAGCTAGGAGATAGAATCAGCCTAGGTGCCCACCAACAGCTGACTGGATAAGGAAAATATTATATATATGCAATAGAGTGTTATTCAGCTATGAAGGAAAATGAAATCCTGCCATTAGCAGGAAAATGGATGTAACTGCAGAGCATCATATTAAATGCAATATGCCAGACAAGCATTGCATGTTTTTTCTCATGTGTGGACACAAAAAAACAAAACAAAAACAATGACCTGAAAGTAGGAAAGGGATGAGGTGCAGCAGGGAAAGAATTAGAGTTGGGGAGAGAGTGGGAGGTGGCTGGACATGATCAATGCACACTGTATGCATTGTGGAAATATCACAGTGAGTCTCATTCGTTTATACAATTAATATGTGACAATATGTAAAAATAAGTATTCCAGAAGTTAAAAGCAGAAGATTATTGGGCCCAAGTCCCCTTAATTCAGTGGCTTTTGAATGAAGTCCAGAAAACGAACGGGGTTGGGGAAGTTCTGCAATTGAGCTGCCTTCCTGCTGTACTGTAGGTAAACAGGCTAGCAGGTGACAGCTGCAAAGGTGTGCCTGTTCTAACTGCAAGCTGTGGGGCAAGACGTAGGAGTGGGTGTGCTGTTGGTGGGTGTCTGGGCATGCCTCACTCTGCCTTTCTGGAGTGCAGCAGTGGGTTAACTGAGAAGCAGGGGTAAGTTTCCCATAGGGAGTGGACAGTTTGGGGCAGAGGATGTGGGGTGGTTGGAGAGAGTAGTATGACAAGCACTGGGCTCCAACAAGGGCCGGTCTGGGTAACACAATGCTCCCTTGTGGTTGCCATCCTCCTTAGAAGCTGAGGGCAAGTGCAGGGACATCCATTTATCATCCCTAGAAACAAAAGGATTTATCCTGTTTACAATAATAACTAATCCAGTTTGCCCATGACTGAGCCTGTACTTCCTTTTCAAGTTTACATGGAAGACTTACCCAGATATTATTATTATTATTATTATTTTTGTTTTTGAGGCAGGGTCTCACAATGTACCCCAGCTGATCTGGAACTATGTAGCCCAAACTAACCTCAAACTCATGCCAATCCTTCTGTCTTGGCATCCCAAATGCTGAGATTACAGGCATGCCACCATGCCTGGTAAGAATGAGTATTTAAAGGGATAATTCATTAAGTAAAACTATCCAATAATCTCGTAGCAGCCCCCAGATAAACCCACTGCTCCCAGATGAAAGCAGGAGGCATTATCTGTGCTAATGCTGATTTAGTCTGTTTCAGCATAGCATCCACCCTCCAGGTCTCTCTTTCTCTCTCTGTAGAGAAGTAGGGTCTGGCTATGGTTGGGTGACTGGAGACAACTCATGGACTCACCTGGAGCAGAGTCTATGAGTGACAAGGGAACACTCAGGCTCCTTGAGATACATGGAACATGCAGATCTCTCTAAGGACCTCACTGTAACCATCATGGCTGCAGAGGAGAGACCTGGCCCCTCTTCTCCTCCCCCAGCTTCTGCTCCTGAAGGCTATCATGCATGTCCTCATGCTGGCCTTAGCAGGCTGGAAGAGGGGCTAAAGGCAACACACCAGGGGTTTAATGGGACTTCTGTTTCCTTGTGCCTTGTCCACAGATGGCTTTGAGTACAGGAAAATCCTCTCTCTAGATGAAAAGAATATTCTTCGCCCAGCTAACCAAACATCTGAAGCTGGCTGGCCATAGATTTAAAATCATCAGTATAAACAGTCAATGCCCCTTCTTCCAGAAAAGGAAGCAAGACTCTCTTTTTACCATGTCTGCATACTAATCAGAGGCGTGGTGTGAGGTCCTGCATGATGAGACCAAAATCTGCAGCGGCTTTTTTTTTTTGAGTCAGGGTCTTCCTGTTGCCTCAGCTAGACTGGAACTCCCTATGTAGACCAGGCTGGCCTTGATCTCACAGAGATCAGCCTGAGTGCTGAGATTTAAGGTATGAGCCACCATGCCCAGCTTGGCAGCAGCTTTTAAATGAATTTTTAAATCATTACTTTCAACACACTGGGGGGAACAAAATGCCAAAGGCATGGAGAAGAGGGCACAGGCCTTGAGAGTCCACCAATCCTGAGAGTCCACCTTTCACTCTCTGATGCCAGCTGCATTGCATGAGAGGACAGTCAGCATCAGGGAGGTCTGTCCACTGTCCTCACATGTGGGAAGTCAATGGCAGATGCTGCCCTTCACAACTTCCAAGGAAACCCCAGTCCCAGAGGAAAGAGGTCAAGAATGAAATGAGCTGCCTATGATGGCACATACTTATAATTCCAGTGCTTGGGAGACTGAAGCAGGTGAATCACAGTTTGAGGGTAGCCTGAGCTACATAGTAAGCTGTCTCAAAAACAACAACAACAAAAAAAAAACAAAAAAAAAAAAAAAAAAAAAAAAAAAAAAAAAAAAAAACAAAGCAGAAACAAATGAGAAGTTGGTCTGTCAGATCTTAGAGAAGTAAAAGGGTGGTAGAAGGGCTGCAGACAGAGAAGCACAAAGGGGGCCTAGTTAGGTTCAGGCCAAATCCTGGCAGGCCAGGTGCAGTTCTATGTAAGGGGCAGGACTGTCACTCAGGATGCAGACCTGGACCATCTCTTGCCACAGGGCCTCAGGACTGGCTGCTGGCTCAGGTCTGTTCTGGGGAAGATGGTCAGGTGTAGCCAATACCAGAGAGGAAGTTTTTTGCTGCCTATTTACCTGAGCCCTCTAGGGCCCTTCCCTTGGAGACTCAAGGTTTCTTTGGGAAAAAAGCACATTCAGTCACTGTGAGAAACAGGGTAGAATGATGGAAGTATAATAATAAACTGCTCACAGGAATACCACAAGGCTAACTAGTTGCTTCCAGTCCATTTGACTGTTCCAGCATTAGCTGATTGTAAATGAAAACTAGTGGCCCGACTCTAGCCAAGTTTCTGGTCTTCCCTTGATCTGGGAAAATGCTTCCCTGAAGACTTTACAGAGCATCAAAGGCAACGCTCCTGTCTTGCAAGGAGGGGAGAAATCTGGCTTTGAAATAATGTCCAGAATGTTTAATAAGTAGTGAAGAAAAGGAGAGGTTTCTCTGATGGATAAAGACCACCCAGAGCTGAGGAGGAGTACTGTGGGAGGCTAGAGAGGCAGAACCCAGGGGTGCTGGACAGGCTTGGTTGTTCATCTGGGTACTTCTAAGGTCCCCACCACACAATTTTCTCACAGGACTGTTCATACTATGGAGACAGTCCCTCTATAAAAGGTGCAGTTTCCCAAACAGCACTAACTCAGGTCTGATCTGTACAGAGAAAAAAAAGAATTTGATCTAATCTAAGAATACTGACCATTCTCTTGGATCCTGTGCTGCCTTCTTATCGAACACACCTTCAAGTCTTTCTATGTGCCTGCCTCAAGCCCTCATGATACTTGTCTGGGAGAAGGGCCAAGTACAGGCTACCATGATGCCATAACGGCATTCAGAGACTCTTCTTCATGCCCACCCTCATCTGTAGACACATCTAAATATGCTAAGCAATGAGAAGATTAATTAGTACTGGGGCCCGGGGTGTGTGTGTGTGGGGGTGTTGGGCAGTGAGGCTCCATAGGCTCTTCGACATGGCTGTATGCAAAGACAGAATGTATCACACAGACATTAGTGTCTACTAAAACTCAGGGTCTTTCCAGTGCTGTTCCCTCTGCACAGAATAGTTTGTCCTGTGCTCTTCACCTGGCCAATTGTGCTTTATCTATAGCTTTCCTTCAGAGAGTTGGGTTCCTTTGCCTCACCGTCCATTATTCCAGCTCACCATGCTGAGTTCTTTCTCCCCGATTCTTAGCACAATTTCTAAATTCTCTCTTTTCTTTAATTTTTAAGTTTTTGAGACAGGGTCTCATGTAGCCCAGGCTGGCTTTGAACTCCCTACATAACCCAGAATGACCTTGAACTTCTGATCCTCTTGCCTCCACTTTCTGAGAATTACAGGCGTGTGCTACCACGCCTGGTTTTAGAGTACTGGGAATGAAACCTGGGGCTTTAAGCATGCTAGGTAAGCATCCTACCAACTGAACTACATTTCCATTCCTTCTTATCACAGTCGATGATTATGTTTATTTGACCAATATCCATATGTTCCACTACACCGTGAATGCTGTAAGGTGAGGAACTGTTTGTCTTGTTCTTCGGCACTTAGTACAATGTGTGACACACAAGAATGATTCAGTGTACACCTGTCAGCTGCATGAGTGAAGTGGATGACGGTCACTGGGGCAATGGTGAGGTTTAGCTAGCTACTGGGGAAAGTGGGAATGGCTAGAACAGACAACGTTGGCAACAAGAACATACAGGACCACGAGGGCCATATGAGGGCTATGAGGGCATGTGGGATCACAGCCACATGCTGGAGTTCTTCATAAGGAGCCCACCAGGCAGGGTGTGGCTTACTTCTGTGAGGAGTCTCTCCATGGAGCTCTTCTCTTCCCTCAAGTGGCAGTTCTGGTCTGCACCAAACTGCGCATGGAAGCTTTTGCTAGGGCTACTGAAATACTTGGCCATGTGTCTCATTGTTTGGTTGTCTCCTTCAAAAGCCTTCCATTGCTTCAGCTGTTAGTAAAAAGAACACATGTTATTTAATTAATTACATACCCAGAAACACATTCCCTTGCTCTTTCTCATAAATACCAAGGAATGATACTGTCACAGATACATATATGCACAAGCTATTCACTCCTTAACATGTCCTTTGCTCTGCAGGGCTCATAGACAGTAATGACAGAAAGCACATAGAACATTAAGGTTATATGTTTTTAAAATGCCCAAGGAATCAGACAAGAGACGGAACACAACAACCTTGTCAAGCTGATCAAAAGAAGTCAGAGCAGAACTGTTTCAGAGCGGTGTTCTTTTTTATTTTATTTATTTTTATTATTTTATGTGTATGAGTGTATTGCCTGCATGTGTGTAAGTGGACCCGTGTCATGCAATGCCCAAGGAGGTCAGAAAGAGGGTGTTGGGTCCCTTGGAACTGGACTTATGGCCAGTTGTTAGCCATCATGTGGGTGCTGGGATGTGAACCCGGGTCCTTTGCAAGAGCAGCCAGTGTTCTTAATCACTGAGCCATCTCTCCAGCCCCCTAGAGTGGTATTCTAAAGCTATAGGTTAGGAGTCCACTAAACGGTATGCTTTCAAGAAGCTGTTTACAGTTGTATCTAGCTATTCTTAGTTATTTTTCAGTTCAGGGGTGATGTGTTTCCTGTTACTGAGAGCTCAGTTTTTAGTGGGAGGCTTTCTAATCCAAATCAATGACCAAAGCTAAGACAGCTAAAAACAACAGATGTCAGTAAAAACAACAGCATGTCCGGTCTGACACATGGCTATGTTTTCTAACATGGAAAGTCTTGAATATGAGTGTGACTTTTCCAAGGTCACATGCCACCTCTAGCAACAGACCTATGGCTGTAACCAGGATTGCTATACCTCAGGTCCTCATACAGCTGACAAAGCAACACTGTTGGTAGTGGGAGCTCTGGATGAGTTCTTCAGCAGAAACTGTCCTTGAGGAGCAATCTGTGAAGACATGGGCCAGCCCACTTTCTTGGGGATAGAGCTGATGTAGAATATTCCCACATAGGTGCCTGCTCTGGAACTGCTGGGACAATGTGTCTACCTGGTGAGTGGCAAGTTATGTGGATAACAGAGGACCACAGCAATGGAGACCTCTTTCCCTCTGCAATCTTAACCTCCTATATGAGTCATCTCTTTTAGGGCTGCCGAGGACTGAGCATAAGGCCACCTCTAGCTTGGGTCTCTTTCCTCTATGCTGGCCAGGTGGGGCCAAAGTGTTCTTCTGTTGCTCCTTTGTGATGGCCCTGGTCTTGTGACTTGACCCTCTATGTTTTCTGACTATCCATAATTGTTCCTCAGATTATAAGGCATATTCTTGTTTCCAGCCTCTGGGTGATATGGTGCTGTCAGCTGCATTATATCCCCTTATAACCCGCGTATCTGAATTCCTAGAACCTGTGACTGCTACCTAAAATGGTAAAAGGAATTTTAAGAGGGTGATGCTAAGGATCTGGAGATGGGAAGACTATTCTGGATGATCTGGGTAGATCCAATGTCATTACAAGAGTTCTTCATTATTTTTTAAACTTAAAAAAATGTTCATTATTTTTATTTCGTGTATATGTGTGTATTGCCTGCATGTAGATAAGGGCACCCATGTCGTGCAATGCCTGCCGGAGGTCAGAAGAGGCTGTCAGATCCCCTGGGACTGGAGTTACAGACAGTTGTTAGCTGCCATGTAGGTGCTGGGATTCGAACCCAGGTCTTCTGCAAGAACAACCACTGTTCTTAACCGCTGAGCATCTCTCTAGCCCCACAAGAGTTCTTAAAAGAGGAAAACAAGGGGGCCAGAGAAGGAGATGTGATAACAGAAACCAAAGGCAGAAAGAGGGAAGGAGGGAGGGACTTAAAGGTACCCCGTTGGTATCTCAAGGAGGGAAGAAAGGGCAGGAGCTAAAAAAGAGAACTAAAAAAGGCTTCCAGAAGCTGGAAAAATCAAGAAATGGATATTTCCCTTATCTGTAGAACAGGTTCAGACGTGGATACCTGGATTTTAGCTAAATAAGACCCATTTCCAATTTCTACTGTGCAGAACTGCAAGATAATCCATTTATATTGTTTTAAGTCAGTGGTGGTGATTGTTACAGCAGCCACAGGAAACTAATACAGCAGGCACTCATGTGGCATTTAAAAAAATATTTTATTATTCTTATTTTATGTGTATGAGTGTATTGCCTGCACGTGAGTGCACCCACATTGTGCAATGCCAGTCTCAGAAGAGGGCTTCGGATTCCCCTGGAACTGGAGTTAAGGACTGTTCGTAGCTGCCATGTGGGTGCTGGGACTTGAACCCGGGCCCTCTGCAAGAGCAGTCAGCGCTCTTAACCACTGAGCCATCTCTCCAGCCCCCCGTGTAGCATCTTTAACAGGCCACACCAGGGCTTCTAGGTGCTCACAGAGGTGCCTCTCTTTCCTGTGATTTCTCATCTTACTCCTATTTGTGTTTCAAAAATAGCAAAGGGGCTGGAGAGATGGCACAGAACTTTAATCACAGTATTCAGGAGGTAGGGGCAGGCAGATCTTTGTGAATTCAAGGACAGCCTGGTTGACATAGAGAGTTCTAGGCTAGCTCTATTACATAGTGAGACCCTGTCACAAAAAACAAAACAAGTGTGGTGGTGCACACCTTTAATTCTAGCACCTGGGAGACAGAGGCAGGCAGATCTCTGTGAGTTCAAGGCCAACCTGGTCTACATAGTGAGAGGCCAGCTGGGGCTACAGGGAGACTCTGTTTCAAAAGGATAAAAACAAACAAACAAACAAAAAAAACCCCAAAAAGCTACCCCCCCAAACCCCAAAACAAAAATTCTTTGCTGGGCGTGGTGGTGCATGCCTTTAATCCCAGCATTTAGGAGGCAGAGGCAGGCAGAGCTCTGTGAGTTCAAGGCCAGCCTGGTCTATATAACAAGTTCCAGGCCACCTAGGGCTACAGGGAGACCGTCTCAAAAACAAACGAACAAACAAACAAAACCCTAAAACAAAACCCCCAAATTCTCTGGGGCCTGGAGAGATGGCTCAGCAGTTGAGTGCTTTCTGCTCTTCCAGAGGACTTGGTTCAGTTCCCAGCACCCACATGACAGATAACACTGTCTATAACTCCAGTTCCAGGGGATCCGACACCCTCTTCTGGCCTTCACAGGCATTGCACACACATGGTACACTTATGCAGGCAAAACACTCATACATGTTTTAAAAAAAAAAAAAAAGAGTGGGTGGGCAAGATGGTTTAGGGGGAAGGATGCTGGTCACTGGGCCTGACAACCTGGGTTCAGTCCCAGGAACTCATGATGGAAGGAGAGAACCAAATCCCCCAAGTTGTCCTCTGACCTCCACCAGCTTGCCATTGTATGCCTGTGACAACACACATACACAAAAGGGAAAAAAAAAAAAAAAAAAACAAAAAACGGGAAATTAAAATACCAAAGCCTGGGCTTCCCACTCTTGGGAGTTCCTTCTCACTTTCCCATCATGTCTTGTCCCAGCTGCTTGATGAACGCTATTGCTTCAAGACTCTCTGCCAACACCCATTTGATGCAAAGGTATCACTGAGTTTGATAAAGGCTGGGGCAACTTCTAAGTACTCAACACATGCATTTTATTTCTTCTCATGGCTGTTCTCCCCTACATCTAAAACGGGGACTCTCTGCTTCACTGCCTGCCCCCAAGAGCTAAGATGTGGCCAAAGGACACCGGAATAAATGAAAGAGGCTTTCTTTGCTGAACTCTCCAGTCTTGGGAGGGGGGCGGGTATCCTAAGTGTTTCAGGGACAATGAGCTGGAAGAGAAAATGTCCGGACCTGCTTGCCTCTAGGAGTGGAAGGGTGGGGGGATGGGTCACATTCAGGTCACAAAGGCAGGGACTGGCTGAGGGCTGATGACCTCAGAACTTGGCATAAACACCCAGGCATTTCCTGAATGCCCTGTACAAGCTACTTGGTTCCCTTGCCTCACAGGGTGCACTTCGCCCTGCTCTCCAGCACCGCCTAGAGGCCCTTCATGCTATGCACGCTTTTGCTGTCACAGCCCCCGCCCACTCCCGGAATCTGAAGGCTCTGCAGCCAGCAGGAGCCTCACCTCCACCACCAGATCCACTACCTCAGCGGTCTCTTGGCCCTTGGGGTGGGGGTTGGGGAGGGACTTGGAGGGTGGAAGACTCAGTGAAAGCCCCACAGAGAAAGTCATGCTTTTACCAACCACCTCTGAGCCAGAAGGACAATCAGTTTAGGGACAAAGCTCAGTCATTTTTCTATGATGAAAAAGAAGTTGTAGGAAGACCTTACCATCTAAAACTAAAATACTATAAAATATGTTTCTTTGGTTTCATATCATGGTCGGTTCAAGAGGAAAACATGCATGAGAGAGAAAAAGAGCAGAGGTAAGGGGGGAAGGGGAGTGAGGCAGAGGAGGGACAGGTCAGTGCCACCCACCACATTCCTGTCCCCTCCGTGTGAGTTTCAGTACAGCCAGTGCTCCCTTAGGCAATCCTGGGAGTCAGAATCAAGCTGTTCATCACTATCCAGTCCTAATGCAGAGGATTCAAATGCCAGAGGAAGTGGAAGTCTGTGGCTGAGGCTCAGGACTCAAGGAAATACAAACAAGGATCGGCCAGGGAGGCTGTGGATTTGCTCCATTTTCAGAGGGAGCCTTTCAGACCAGAAAAGATTTCTCCTGGTGCTAGTTCTGCTCCAGTATTTTGGTTCTCTTTCAGAGACATCTGTTAGCTATGAACTGTGTCCCTAGACCTGATTTTTATATTTTCTTTTTCAGTTTCTCATTTTTACCTGTCTTCTGTTTCCTTAATTCAGTATTTTGCAGTGTTCAAATTGCCTATACATTGTTTCAACTGAGGTTTTAAATTTCACATCACTTTTTATCTGTATTCACTATTTCATTATCTAAGACCGTGTCCTTTGTATGGTGGTTTGTTTTTGTTGAAAAGAAGCAGTGTCCTTTGAATCCTATTGACAAAACCAACTATCTTCTAGAAATTTCTCCTTTAGAAGAAGGCATCTCTAGATCTTTATTCCCTTTTTGTGACCTGTAAGTTTTCCTTATGGATCCTCTTCTTTTGAATTTATACTTACATGGGAAGAACTATAGTTTCCTACTATAATAAATATCTTTTCTTAGATTTCTTGATTTATTTTTATATGTATGAGTGTTTTGGGTTTTCTTTTTCTTTTTTTTTTTTTTTTTTTTTTTTTTTTGAGACAGGGTCTTCTTGTATCCCCGGCTGGCCTGGAACTTGCTATGTAGACTAGGCTGGCCTCAAACTCACAGGGATCCCCCTGCGTCTGCCTCCTGAATGCTGGGATTAAAGGCATGCGCCATCATACCTGGCTGTATATGAGTGTTTTACCTAATGTAAGTAAGGCCACCACATACATGCAATACCTGCAGAGGCTAGAAAGGTGTTGGATTCCCCCTGGAACTGGAGTTATGGACATTATTAACCACCATGTGGGTGCTGGGCACTGAACCCTGGTCCTCTGCAAGAGCAGCCAGTGCTCTTAATCACTTAGCAATCACTCCAGCCTCTAAACATATTTTTTGATCACAACATGACTGCCATCACTCCAGATATTACATACATTGAAGGGAGAAAGAAAATAAAAAGTATATGCCAACAATGTTTAACATTGTTTTTTTCAGGAAAGTAAGTTTTTTGGAAGTCTTTCAGGAAATCTCTAATGTTCCAAACAATGTCACAGGCACACCTCTAGCTATAAACAAGTTGGTGAAACAAATGCTTAGCTCTTTTAGAAGCAAACAAGAAAGAACAGGGTTGGCAAAGAAGGCGAGGTCCCCCCAAAAGCACCTGCTTGCATCCCTTTACTACCATCTCCCAGAGAGGAAGAACCTAGCCAGCATCCCAGACAATGTGCCCCCACGGTCAATGGCCTTCTTCAGTCCAGATCTTACAGAGTAAAGATTCTGCAAAAGTTCCTCCAGTTTTATGGCACAGAAGCTGTATCCTTCCTTAGATTTTTAAAAAAAGATTTTTTTTTTTTTTGGTCTTTTTGAGACAGGGTCTCCCTGTAGCCTCAGGTGTCCTGGAACTCACTATGCAGACCAGGCTGGCCTTGAACTCACAGAGATCTGCCAGCCTCTGCTTCCAGAGTGCTAGGATCAAAGGCATGCGCCACTACGCCTGGCAAAAAGATTTATTTTTAATTACGTGTATATGTGTGTGTCTGTGTGTGGACATGTACAGGTGATTTTAAGCCATTGTGAGCCAACTCACAATTGAACTTGGGTTTTCTGGAAGAGCATTAAGTGTTCTTAACCACCTAGCCATTTCTCTAGACCCTTAGACGCCAATGTAGAGTTTTCCATATTTGTTTATTCTGTTGAATATTTTGTTGAGAATTAATGAACAGGAAGAAGATTAAAGTGTCTACATGTGGCCCAGTGTTGACTGTAACCCTCCATTGGCCAACACTGGAATGAGCCATTAGTTCCTCCCCAGGAAAGCAATCAGAATGGGGCTTGAAGGAGGAACTGAAAGGGTGAGGCCTCTGGTGGGGAAGAAAAAAGGAGAGCAGGAGGCTGAAAAAAAAAATGGCACCTAATGGCTAGGTCATTAACATGATGGATGAGGCCCAAGTGCCCGTCAGCACACCGAACCACCCTGAGCTTTTCTTCCTGAACCTCTGCGTCCCCCCACCTCTTCTCTGTCAGGATATTTTTGCTTCAGTCTTCTTCCTTTGTTTAATTTAAGTCTTAGCTCATATAATATGAAACACATTTTTATTTCTCCCTGTTGTAAACAGAAGATTCTATATTTTCCTCTAATAAAAAGAAAGGAAAACGTGTGCTTTTTTTTTTTTTTTTGAGACAGGGTCCTGGGTAGCCCAGGCAGCCTTGAACTCACTATGTGGCTGAGGATGACCCTGACTCTTGGGGCTCCTTCCTCCATCTCCCAAGTGCTGAGATTACAGGTGTGAAGCACCACACCCAGCTAGGAAAAGCATTTTATGTCATGAAGTTCTAAGTAGACATTTCTCTGTGAATCTGCAATCCCAGATTAGAAAGAATGCTCTTCTCTCCCAGACTCATGAAAGAAATCACTTTGTTGAGCTGAAAGAGGCACGGAGGGGGAGTGGAGCAAACAAGGGTGTGTGGGAAGCAGGTGTGTGAGGCAACTCTAGGAACAGGTCCCATCACAGGTGCTCCCCTCTGGCCTGCTGACTGGGGAGCAGGGCTGGCCTCTCCCAGGCACATAAAGGTGCCAGCATTAAGTGAAATGACCCATCATGCTCTAAAAGCCCTGTTGAGTACTCCCTGGAGCATACCTGGGGAAGGAAGACACAGCAGTTCACCACGGTTGTGCAAACGAAGATGCCTCCAGATGTGAGTCCAAAGACCAGATTGGGCCAGGAGTGCAAGTATCTGGTGATCACAAAAAGTAGCCCAGCCATGAGCAGCAGGAGGTTGACTCCAACCATGATAGTCAAGGACTGGTTCACTGGAGGAGAGCTGACATGGTCGGTTAGTCCCGCCAGGTAGGCACCATACAGCAGCAGCAGCCCCTGCAGGCAGAGCAGGGACCAGAGGCACAGAGAAGGGGGACCACGGGTCAAAGTAGTAGGATAGGGGCAGTGTCCTCATCTGTAACACTAGCTAATAATACCTTACTTAAAGAATTACTATGGGTTTCTGCTAAGATAGGATGTCGGAAACCCAGAGAGAAGTCCTTATACTTATGGGTACTGAAAAAGTGTCACTTTCCTGTCCTTCACTGAGAACATCAGAGGTTGACAAATAAGCCATGAGAGAGCGCTGTTCTGGGAAAAGGCACAGGGCCTCATGTGGGTGGGTAGGAGCTTCGCATAAGGGGAGTCAGCTCCTGCTGGGAGCAGGGGATGCTATGACATCCATAAGGTTTGGCAGTGAGTGAGGACAAGGAGCATGCCGGACCTGAAAGTGACCCGTGGCCTGCTTGTCGAGTCTTGTGCTACAGTTGGGTAGTGCCAGAGGGAGGGAGCTTTTTCTTCCCAGGGTGCTCAAAGGCACCATCTGCTTGCCAAGTTGTGTACCTGCAAGGCCACATCTACCTAGAAAAATGCTGTTTTTTTCTGACAGTAAGGAGCACCATAGGCTGTCTGTAGCTCTGTGTAGTGTGCAGCGGGGATTCCTAGGAGATAAAAGATGGAAAGAGACGAGAACAAAGGCAGGCTGGGACCTCAGCAAGAGTGAGGGGAAGCACAGGTGGCAGAGCCATATCCGAACGGCTTTGTGACATTTCCTACCTCCATCGTGAGGAACTCAGGCTGCTTCTCTCTTCTTTTCATAAACATAAACCTGCTTTCCCGGTTCTCAATTGTACTAGGGGGAAAATGGCACAGCACCTTATAGGTGCTTTTCCCAGAGGGAGCCTCATGCAGAAGTCAGAACTTTGACTAGCAACAATGTGCAAATTCCACTCACACTCACGTTTCTGACATAGTCAAAGTGCCATGCTTGAAACCACTGCTATAAAGACTAGTCACAGCTGGGCATGGTGGCTCATACCTGGCATCTCAGCACTTAGAAGACTGAGGCAGGAGGACGGCTGTGAGTTGAAGTCAATTTGAGCTACATAGTGAGACCCTGTCTCAAAACAACAATGAAGATGGCAACAACAGTACAAAGTCATAGCCCTGGCATCCAGGGCACCCAGGCTGGCAAGGAGGTCAGAGGAAAGCAAGCAAGTGCCTCTGTTTATACCTGGAATGTGAAAATACCATGGGGAATGAGTTGAGCCTGGGAACCAAGGGGGTTCAGGAGAATAAGGAAGTCAGTCCAGGTGCCCCTCAGACTCTGAGATCACATGACTTGGCCAACTCCACCTGCAGGGATGCTCTAGGAATGACTTCAGAAGCTTTAGCTGTGCTAGAGTGGAGAAAATCAGCGTGGCAGTAATGCCTCTGAATGCTTCTGACACCCAGTGTCCCAGAGCCGTGGGAGGGCTGAACCCAGTCAGTCTGGGCTCTTCACTGAGTAGAGAGCACAAGTCAGGGGCCAGTGGGACCTGACTCCTGATATCATCAGATGGCATTCTGCAGCAGATTTTTTTTTTTTTTGAGACAGGGTCTCCCTGTAGCCCCAGCTGGCCTGGAACTTGTTATGTAGACCAGGCTGGCCTTAATCTCGCAGAGCCCCATCTGTTTCTGCCTCCCGAGTGCTGGGATTAAAGACATGTACCACTATGCCTGGCTTAGTAGTTTATTTATTATTTTTATTTTATGTGTATGGGCATATTGCCTGTAGGTATATAAGTGCAATGCCTGTGGAGGTCAGAAGAGGGTGTTGGATCCCCTGGAACTAGAAGTTCAGACCTGTTAGCTGCTATGTGGGTTCTGGGATTTGAACCCAGGTCTTCTGCAAGAATAGCCAGTGTTCTTAACCACTGAGCCATCTCTCCAGTCCTAGTAGTTTCTTTTTAAATTAAAAAAAATTTTTTTAAAAAAAACATTATGTGAATGAGTCTTTTGCATGTCCTTGACTAGGGGCCAGGCAGAGGTCAGAGCCATTTTGTTATATTATGTTCATTTCCTAACTGTTCCCAAGATACAAGATATCAAGAGTGATTCACTTGCTGGAGTACTCTTTAGAAAGATTTTTCTGAGCCAGGCATGGTGGCTCATACCTGTAATCCAAGCATTTGGGTGGCAAGGCAGAAGGAATGTTATGAGTTCAAGGCCAGCCTGGGTTACATAGTAAGACCCTGTCTCAATCCTCCCTTTCTACCCAAATAACTAAACTGACGAAACTAAAAGCAATCCCTCATAAAAACCCAGATCATTATATGAGAGAAGCTGAATTCCCAGTGATTTGTGGGAAGACTGAATGAGATAGCAACAAGAATTATAAAAGTGATCTGCCAAATATAAACAGTAGCTTCTGGCTTTGGGACTGAGCCCAGGCCTCCTCTGAGGCCAGCATTCTCTGTAGTCATCATGAGTGATTACCTCATTAATTCCCTAATCCCCTTTTCATATTCATTTTATTGGTGACTGAATGTATCCCAAGGAGATGTGGTTACTAACCTTGTACCCCAAAACCAGAGCAATCCAGACATCAGAGTACCGCGAAGCACAGAACTGTGTGTTGGTCAAAGAGCAGGAGACGTCTCTCCCTGTCACCTGTGAAGGACATAGGGTCAGAACCAAGGGCACTCACAATTACCAGGACCACAGGGCACATCTCTGTGAACTTCTTGGAGTGTGAATTCCTCAGCACATCATTTCCCTCTCAGTATGTAAAAGCAGAAAAGGGTAGGCAATTCTTAGAGCCTAAACCAGAGTGACTACAGGCAGGAGGAAAAGGAGATAAAGGTGGAGGGTAGTAGATGCTGGGTGGCAGAGGGCTTACCCCTCGGGCATGTGCTTTGTTGTATTTCATGAATCATTATCAGCAAAGAACTAATCCTTACACATTGGACTTTGTTAGGATTCCACCTTTTCTACCTGAATTCTTTTCCTTAATCTTTAATCTTGCCCTGGAAGAAAGGTAGTATTGTCAGCTCCACTTTACCCCTCTATCTGGAAAAGATACTTAGAAAGGTTAAGCAACCTTCCCCAAAGGCACATGGCTGGCAAATCTGGCAGGGCTGGGATTTCAACTAGGGTTGACTGATTCTCTCAACAGTGAGAGAGAAAGGCAACTCCTCAGAGATAAAAGTTCTCATCAGTGACTGTGTGGCAGTAGAGAGAACTGAAAGGCAGTTTCCTATGTGCTGACATCTTGTGGAACACCCACGAGAAGATCAGGGGCATGAGGAGCATTGGGGGTGGCAAACAAAGGACAGGGTGCTCACAGGAGCCACGGCCCCTGACTCTCTTCACTGGCAGGATGGCTGTTGCTGGGAGGATGACCACATACTACAGAAGCTGGGAAGTTAATTCCTCAGGGCCAGGACCCTCACCTTCATGCTGACACCAAGGATCTGCAGGCACTGGATGGGATCAGTCAGCACCCACGTCACGAGCAGGATCACATCAGCTACCACCAGGGTTGCTACCAACCCCAGCAACTGCAGGTCTTTGATAATCTGCAAAAGAGTCAAGGTCAAAACATCTCCTTGCTTGCTGACTGTACAGCATAGGTGACAGATAACAGAGTGTGCCATGTGCTCTGAGCTACAGGCTGCAGGGACAGCCCTCCTTGCAACCCTTAAATGCAGCCATCAAAGATGAAACAGGTGTCAGTTATCCACCCAACTCATGCTTAGTACTGAAAGACTGAATGCCTCCTCCATAAGTCATAGAATTACTGTTATTATTACCAGCAAACATTTCTGTTTGTTTACCTTTTTCATATTCTATTTTGACAAAGGTTTCAAGGGGTTTTGAGGGGCATCTTCAAAGTACTGTAACAAAAAGGAAGTAACATAAAGATAGATATATATATCTTTCAGAGGCTGGGAGTGTAGATAGATTACTTGCCTTCTGAGCACAAGGCTTGGGGTTCCATCCCTAACACCACAAAATAAACAGCAAACAGTCAAAATAAAGACTTTTTTCGGCACTCACACAACTACATTAAACTGTTAGATACCCTTCAGGTAACCGGGAATGGATAACAAAAACGTGAATCTAGCCAGAGGTGGAGGCGCACCCCTTTAATCTCAGGTCTGGAATTCACAGAGATCCATCTGCTTCAGCCTCCTGAGTACTGGGATTAAAGCTTGTGCCACCACACCTGGCCTATTTATCTGTTCTTAAAAATGTTTTTATTAGCGTATATTATTTATACATAATAGTGTACATAATGTATTTTGATTTTTTTTTTTTGAGACAGAGTTTTGCTATGCAACTCTGTCTGGCCTCAAACCCGTCATCCTCCTACGTCTGCCTCCCAAGTGCTAAAATAATAGGTATGAGCCATCACACCCAACTCTTGCCTCATGCTTAGCACTTCACTAAGTCTTTCAAGACTGCCTTCTGAGTAAGTCAAGAATAATTGAAGGATATTTTGTTACCCCAATTCAAAGTTGTAATGTTGTTTCTAGTCAGTTCCACCAGATAAAAGATCTTTATTTACAGGCAATATGATCATCTATGTAGAAAGCCAAAGGAGTCTATTAAAATGATGCTAGAAAAACTGGGTATGATGGCATATGACTATAATCCCAGTACTTAGGAAATTGAGACAGGAGGACCATCATGAGACTGAGGCCAGGCTAAATTACAGAGTGAGTTCTAGGTCAGCCTGGATGAAACTTTTTTTTTTTTTAAAGGAAAGTTACTACTACTAATATGTAATTTAGCAAGGATGCAACATATAAGGGCAGCATCAAAACCCAACTGTATTTCTATATTCAAGAAAAAGCCTAATTGAAAGTAAAATTTACAAAACAATGTGTACAAAGCATAAAAATTTAAATAGTAGGGGCTGGAGAGATGGCTCAGTGGTTAAGAACACTGGCTATTCTTGCAGAAGACCTGGATTCAAATCCCAGCACCCACATGGCAGCTAACAACTGTCCATAACTCCAGTTCCAGGGGATTCGATGGCCTCTTCTGTCCTCCTCGGGCATTGCATGACATGGGTGCACTTACCTACATGTAGGCAATACACGCATACAC